AACCCACTTCTCTCCCCTTTTATCATCCACATTATGCTGAGGATTACGAGAAGAATCCCTCGACAAACGCTCTTCGAAGATTCCCAAACACACTCGGAGCGGGGGCGACATACGTGCGGAGGGTGTTGTGAGGGTGACCCGGGTATTATATATCTGGAACATTCATCACCCTCGCGACGGACTCCGCGGGAGCAGTCTCGTAAACAACCTCAGGCCTCTCGGGTTACGGGCTAGCACTCTGCCCGCTCCAGGGTGCCACCAGTTTCTGTCTTTGACGGGGGCACCGCGGGTCTGTCCAGGGATCGGATTCCTGGGGACAGATTTAAGACACGGTCACACCTTGTTCTATATTCTAGATTTCTCTCTCTGTCTGTCTCTAACTCTCTGTCTCTCTGTCTCTCTGTCTGTCTGTCTATCTTTCTCCCCCCCCCCTCTCTCGTTATCTCTATATATCAGTGCGTGTCTGAGTCTCTGTTTCTCTTTCTCTCTTGCCCCTCTTTCATGCTCTTCTCTTTCCCCTCTATCTCTCTTTCTTCTCTCTCTCTTAATTCCCTATCTCCCCTCTCTCTGTGTCTCTATCTTCTTCCCTCCCTCCCTCTCTCTCTACCCTCGTAATCTGTCTGCCCCCTGCACCCCCACCACCTCTCACTCTCAGTCTTCTCTATCTCTCCCCTCCCCTTCCTCTCCCTCCTCCCTCCCCCCTCTCTCTCTCCCCCTCTATCTCACTCTTTGACAGACACCTTGGGCCCAGGGATCGGATTTCTGGGGACACAGATTTAAGTCACGGGCACACCTTGTGCACTCTCGATCACAGACAGTCGTCAACACTGCAGTAGCTGCTGCTATAGCCGCTGCATCATCATCATCATCATCATCATCATCATCATCATCAGCATCATCATCATCATCATCATCATCATCATCTACTCTCTCTCTCTATCTTATTCTCTCTCTCGCGTTCTACCCCCTTCCCCCCCCTCTCTCTCTCTCTCTTTCTCTCTCTCTCTCTCTCTCTCTCTCTGTTTCTGTCTTTCATCAGCATAGTTATGGTCAAGAGAATATTCCAGTTACCCGACACGTCTCCGCCGCAACCTCATGTTCTGTTCTCAAAGCCAAGCACAGTCCGATACCCCTCTAACCCCCTTCTCCCTCTTCCCCTCAGGTGCACACCCCTCCCCGTAGCCCCGATATTTCCCCCTCTCTCCCCTTTTCCCCCAACTGTCCGCCCCCTCCCCCTCAGTACCCCTATTTACCCTCTTTTCCAAGTGTGTTCACCACTCCATCACTCTAGTACACCCGGTTTATCCCCCCTACCCCTCGGTACCCCAAAT